GGTGCGGGGTCCCGCGGCCGGGCGGGGAGGAAGGGTCGAGAGGATGGGTGGGCTCCTGACCCTGGCAGGAAGCTGTTAGTTTGCTTTTGGGATTTGTCTCGAGGTCAACATTGGGGTTCCCAGAGCCTGGGGCGCGGGAGAGGGCACGGTTGGGCAGCGGGATGTGTAGTGCTTCTACCTAGAGCGCCAGGGTAGCATTTCCCCCTGCATTTCAAACCGTCCCTAATCCAGAGCCTCAGTTAGCAGAAGCTGCTCTCAGACCCGAAGCACTTAAGTTTAATAAGATTGCACCAGTCCCACCAGCCCCGGCCACCCTCTGCTCAGAGAAATGCTCTCCTCTTTTCTCCCCGCCCAGCTAGTGGTCTTTGGACGAGTGAGAAGTTGGAAAGGAGCTTTGGAAGGTCCCATTGCCACGAGGTTACCGGGGCTTTGGGGGGGGGTGAGACAGGGTATTGAGACTGACCTGGAACTCACTATGCAGCCCGGGCTGGTCTCGAACTCAGAGTGATCCTCCTCCTGCCTCAGCCTCCCAAGTGCTGGGATTACAGGCGTGCGCCACCACGCCCAGTTTACCGGGGCTTTTAGAAGGAGGATGGGCAACACCGGAGAGAGGAGAATGGTCAAGGTGGCCTGAGAGGAGGAGCCCACATTCTGGGTCAGTGGGGTGGTGCTTTTCAAGGAAGAGAAGGTTAAAAAATAAACTCCGGGCAGCCGGGAAATCTAGGGAGGCTCCAGGTGGGTGGAGTGGGGCAGAGTCTCCCGGCTGGAAAACAGGTCCATTTGATATAGAACGCTTGCTAGGGCAGAGGGAGAGAGCGGTCAGTCTTTTCGCCTAGCCTCCGATGGGTGCAACAATTCCTCCGAGGAAACCGCGTGTTGTTACTGACGTTTTAGGAAAGGCGAAAATAAAGACGAAAGCGCGTGTTTTATCAGGATGCGAGGTACTTTAGGAGCCCGGCCACTCCAGCTCCTCCCGTCCAGCGGTTGGCAGGGAAGTCCAGGGTGGCCACTCGGCTCTTCCTCTCCGCTCCACCCAGCTGATTGTGTGTTTGGTCTACGAAATTGTGTCCAGTTAAGGTAGGGCACATTGCGTGGCTGAATTGAACTCAGTCCCAATGTTAGTGTAAAAACCA